ACGCACGCACGCAACGCAACGCAACGCAACGCAACGCAACGCAACGCAACGCAACGCAACGCAACGCCACGCACGCACGCACGCACGCACGCACGCACGCACGCACGCACGCACGCACGCACGCACGCACGCACGCACGCACGCACGCACGCACGCACGCACGCACGCACGCACGCACGCACGCACGCACGCACGCACGCACGCGCACACGCACGCGCACACGCACACGCCGCCTACTATGCGACGCGCAAGCGCTCGCGAACGCGGCACGCGCACGCACACGCACGCACGGCACCGCACGCAGCACGCACACACCCATCACCACCAACGCACACGCACACGACACGGCACTACGCACACGCACTACCACACGCACCACGCACACGCACACGCACACGCGCACGCACACGCACACGCACACGCAACGCACACGCCACACGCACACGCACACCGCACACGCACACGCCCACGCGCACGCGGCACGCGCACGCGCACGCGCACTGCGCAAAACGGGGCGCACGCGCAACGCCCGCGCACGCGCACGCGCGCACGCGCACGCGCGCGCGCGCACGCGCACGCGCGCGACTGCGCACGCACACGCGCCGCTACACGCACACACGCCACACACGCACACACGCACCCACACACACACACACACTTACCCACCCCCACCCACCCACCCACGCACACACACACACACAGACGCACACACAGACACAGACGCACAAACTTACACAGACGCACACACACACAGACGCAGAGGCGCGCACACACGCACGGAGGCAGACTCACGCACACTGACACAGAGACGCGCCCACGCACAGTCAGAGACACAGACACAGACACACACAGGCACAGACACACAGACACAGAGACACAGAGACACAGAGACACGCAGATTCACAGACGCACACACACACACAAACACACTCTGGTCTGTTTTGTTGCACCACCCCAAGAGGGCGAAACTTTGGTCCTCCTGAGATCTCAAGTTCCTTTTTTTGTGGGGGGCCAACACAGGGGGAGGATGTTGGGTGCATCCCATGAGTTCCTGCGCAATCTGCAGGAAACCACCGACCAGCTACGGGGCTTGGTGACCTGGGAGAGTCGGAGGTTCACAGGCATGCGCTTGAAGCTGAGGCGAGCGTCAGACGAATCAAACCGTGGGCCAATTTTTCTCAGTGCCACTAGCTGAATGCTTCCCTGTTTTTTGACTTTCCTTGAGCACTGGAACCTGCGCGGCCCTGAAAAAATAGAAATCTCAAAGGGAACGAGCATGCAGGGTCTTCCTCTCAGGCCACAGGCGTATGGAAGTGGCGCTCCGGGAAACCCAAAGCTGGGGCAAAAGGTAGCAGCGTGGGCATTTGGCTGTGGGTCAAAACCAATGGTACCATTTCGGGGTAGGTGCACCACCCATTTTAGTCTATTTTAGTTGGGATTGGGATGTTCACTGGGGGCACGGGCTTTTGACCCATGGCCATTTCCAAAGCCAACATAGGCTGCATGTGTGCGACTCGGGAAAACACTGCGCAGGCTTGAGGATGGGAAAGGTCAAAAGTCAAAGCACGGGATGCATATAGAGCTCACCGTGTGGCTGGACACCCGGCAACTTGGCATGCCCATTGCGCGCCATGCACAAAACCCAGACGGGCTCCAGAGGTTCGGCCAGGTAAAGCTGCTCTTCCGTTGGGTCCAGTGATTCCGAGGGCTTGTCAGAAAAAGAATGTATTTTGAGGCCGCAGCAAGGTTCAACGACCGGGAGATCTGAGTGACAAAGGGGAATTCCGATCGCCTGAACTGTCCAATTGCCGCGCCACAACTCGATGCGGCCATAGGTATGCCTTTGACTATGAAAGGATGGGATTGCATTGGTTTCAGTTTGGTTCTCTTCATTTTTCCCCAAAAGGACAGCTCATCACAGCTCCTTGCGTCTCGTAATTCTTCCGAAACGGACTCGGTTCGCCTCGATCGGTTCTCCTCAACAAGTTTCCTGGCTTGCCGAGGACCGGGCGAGTGATTGACCCAGACGACTTCGACTTCAACGGTCAGCAGGAGAGTGGTTTAAGCTGTGACAGCTTCGAGGCCGGCTGTTTGTGTGTTGTTGTTTGTGTGGTTGTGCCGTTGTGGGTGTGGTTGGACGAGCTGCGCAACTGAGCGGAGTTGTCAGAAAAAGGACATTCGCCTGGCGTCAGGCTCACCTTTCGCTCTGTCTGTTTGCAACTGATTTGGCCGAGAACCGCACTTGAGGCCTTTGAACGGGGCAAGCACCCGAGTTGCAGCATTTGAATTGATGCGCAGCGCGGAAAACGCCAGACAAGTAGCACGCATCTGTTCATCTCGTATCTCCTGTCCTTGCTTTGGAAATGATCGAAATGTTCATCTCGTATATTATTTCATTGTTTGGAAAGGAATGCACAGTACGCAGGAGATGTGATAACTGGCTCTATCATCTCTTTCCCGCCCACTCCATTCGGTCACCTTGAGATGAGAGAAAGTGCTTCCAGGCCTGACATTCCTCTTGTTACACTCGCTTGATCCCCTGACATACTCATACCTTGGAAGAGAAGAAGATGGGGGGAACGGACGAGACAGGGGGTTCTCTGATTCGAGCTCTATCCCAACATCAGGTTGATATGTTGCTTTTTGGTGTTCACAGTGTTCTAGAGGCATTGGCATTTGGTCGGCTTTTTCCCACATGAACATTCAACACTTGCCAAGCACGTACGAAGCTGGGAAGGTTTGTTCCCAGCTGTGCGCGGGACCCGCGAGTCATATCGACAGAAGCCAAGATGAGCTAAAAGGAGCCTGATGCCAATGGCGTATTCTGTCGACCATTTCTTGCTGATCCGGCAAAACCGGAATTGGAGAGGTGCAAGCATGCAAACTCTGGCAGTTTTAGTCGAGGAAAGCATTGCCACTTCAGGGGTCACTTCTGCAATTCTATTCAGGGATCCATTGCAGAAAACTGTCAGGCACCGGGAAGCGGCCTGTTTTTGAGAACGATGCTTGAAAAGACTGGAAAAAGGACCAAGCCCCAGAAACAAAACGTGGGGCTTTCTCTGGAGATTTGGCTTGTGTCGAGGCAGACCTGGAGCCTGTGCCGGAGGATTCCCCGATGTCACTCGATCGCAACCATTGGATTGCGGGACGGGAGAGTATGGCTTGGCACTTTGGGTTGGGGAAGTGTGTGATCTGAGAGATCGCTCGGATCAACGAACTAAGGTCATCTCCGCGGAAGGACGCGGTCTTTGTGGACATCACTGCCCCCGATGATGCGAAGGCGACTCCGAAGAGAGGCGATGCGAGCTCTGCCTGCTTGGATTGTCCGAAACGGGGACAGTCGAAAAGAACCTATGAGCAAGTCGTTCACTTGTAGTGTGATCCGGCAGCTCTTTTAGCGGCTGACGTCAGGATTCCAGACGAAGGCGGTTCGTGCGTCGAAAGACGCAATGCGTGTTTCAGACGACCAGGACCGGCTTGCAACACGTGGTTGTTTTCCTGTCGGTTTGTCAATGTCCATGTCAAAAGCTTGCCTTATGTTGATTTGTGTTCAGTTGTGGTACACCGGAATGTCATGCCTCAGTCGGTTCAATAAAGATACTAGTTGCACTTCCAAAGGTGAGCTAAAAGGAGCCTGATGCCAATGGCGTATTCTGTCGACCATTTCTTGCTGATCCGGCAAAACCGGAATTGGAGAGCTGCAAGCATGCAAACTCTGGCAGTTTTAGTCGAGGAAAGCATTGCCACTTCAGGGGTCACTTCTGCAATTCTATTCAGGGATCCATTGCAGAAAACTGTCAGGCACCGGGAAGCGGCCTGTTTTTGAGAACGATGCTTGAAAAGACTGGAAAAAGGACCAAGCCCCAGAAACAAAACGTGGGGCTTTCTCTGGAGATTTGGCTTGTGTCGAGGCAGACCTGGAGCCTGTGCCGGAGGATTCCCCGATGTCACTCGATCGCAACCATTGGATTGCGGGACGGGAGAGTATGGCTTGGCACTTTGGGTTGGGGAAGTGTGTGATCTGAGAGATCGCTCGGATCAACGAACTAAGGTCATCTCCGCGGAAGGACGCGGTCTTTGTGGACATCACTGCCCCCGATGATGCGAAGGCGACTCCGAAGAGAGGCGATGCGAGCTCTGCCTGCTTGGATTGTCCGAAACGGGGACAGTCGAAAAGAACCTATGAGCAAGTCGTTCACTTGTAGTGTGATCCGGCAGCTCTTTTAGCGGCTGACGTCAGGATTCCAGACGAAGGCGGTTCGTGCGTCGAAAGACGCAATGCGTGTTTCAGACGACCAGGACCGGCTTGCAACACGTGGTTGTTTTCCTGTCGGTTTGTCAATGTCCATGTCAAAAGCTTGCCTTATGTTGATTTGTGTTCAGTTGTGGTACACCGGAATGTCATGCCTCAGTCGGTTCAATAAAGATACTAGTTGCACTTCCAAAGGTGCGATGCTGCACTTCCCAAAGGGACTGCGTGTGACTCCTTTCCGGCAGAAAAAGAACTCATCCGATGTGAGGGAACCGTGATAGCTTGCTGGTGCGATAGGCAGGGAATGTGGGAATGGACCCAGAAATTGTCTTCAAGGAAACCACCAGAGTGATGGTTTAGGGTCTGACTGCATTTCTCAGGGCCCCTGCCGAGACCGCACCAGACCTTTCAATGGCTTTAGGCTTTGGTCAACCGTCAGAGTTCCGAATATGAGACCCGCGACCACAGGTGGTGACGGCACGTAAAAGGTGATATTGAGTGAACATGGGTAGTGGATAGTGTTTGAAGCGCACACAGGAAACTGCCCAGTTTTTGGCGGTCCCTATGTTTGGACTGTTTATGTTGCAGACTCAGCCACGGAGAACCCTGAGTGCGACCCGCCTTTCTGTGAAAGAAAGGAGTACAGAGTACAGAGGTGTTTTTAGAAACAAGGAAGAAGCCTTTACAAGATGATAAAGGGAAACCAAAAACAATCCAACCACCTGAAGTGGCACGGCGTTCTCTGTAACGGCGCGCATGGAATCAGCCAACCATGAGCTCAGCAAACTCAATTTCACACGATGTTTGCTTGGGATGCATACACAAAGGTCGGTCAACCCATTTTGTCCAGCCCCAAACCGGTAGGTTTCTAACCCATGAAATTGGCTGGGGGTCAAAAAACAGGGTTGCAGGTTAGTAATGCAGAAGGTGTCAGAAGGAGGCGCTGAAATCGCCAGCGCCGAGGTGTTTACGTTCAGCCAAGCATGCATAGCACGGTCGCGAAGGGCCGAAGATCAGGTTGAGCAAGCAGACCGCCTGACCAGCCTTCATGAATCATGCGGATCAGCAGACCAGATTGAGCCGAATGAGAGCACGTGTTGATGTCCCATGGCAGCATTCCAAGTACTAGCAGTCACTGGACAAGTACACGGATACTGGCATGGATGAAATCCAATACTCGGAGTTTGAGAATCCAAGCTTCGACGCAAAAGCCGCTTGGATGCCATCATGTTGCAGCTTGTTTGAGCGAGCATCACCAGACATATATTAAACAAAAACTGCGAAACGGGCATTGGCACAACTTTTACCATACTGATTGCAATGTGTGGAGCTCATGCAATGCCATGACTATTTTGTTTGCAGTCGTCAAGCTTATGTTGCGTTTATGACCGGCGATGGGGTGCAATATCCGTTGAATGTAGCCACTATGAGCTTTCTGAAGCGACATACGGCCCTTCTGGGCCTCTTTGGGTGTTAATGCTCAGTTTGCTGTCGCAGCTAAGGAGCTGGTGCAAAGGTACCGCAAGCGGATACCGTTGCCTCACTTGCAAAAGATCCTTCGTGGGCATCATGCTGCTACACGGCAGGAGCTCATCGAATTGCCGCTTGCCATACGACGAAGTAATTTGAAAGTTTGAAAGCGAGGGACGAGGAGTTCATCGCTTGCCACATGATGCCATAGTCATGCATGGGGTTAAATAGAATGGCTGCAGTTAAGCCTTACATGTTTGTAAGGGTTCATACAAGATCACGCAAAGAGTTTTGATCGTGACCCGTATTGTTTTGAATAGGTGAGAGAGAGAGGCAGAGATATGTCGTGGATGATTTAATGAAACCCCAAAAGGCAAGTGCCATAAACCTTCAGGAACGATGTAGTGAAACCCCAAAAACGAGAAGTTCCCATTCGAAATCGCCCAAAGCAGTCTTAGGTTTTGCCGCTCGCTCAGGTGCTTTGCTTTCGGAATCACTTTAGCTCATGCAGAGACGGTCCCAGTTTTGCCACATTCCCATAGCGCGGGCCAACTAAGCCAGTCGTCGACCCTGCTTGATCTGTGAACACATCGCTTATCCAACGCCTATACCTCAGACTTGAGGTCCGAACCAGTTGCCTAAATGTTCAGGTACGTAAGGCGGGAGGAATGCGTTGAAGTGTTGAAGATGGTGTGCCCCGAGCCAAGGATCAATGAGAAGTACGCAGACTTCGTCAGCCTGTCCTCCCGCATGCAGGGGGTCGAGCGTGCACTGAAGCCCCTGCGAGCACCACTGGAGGCCATCGGTGACGTGTTTCTGAGACACATGGCCATGGGTCAAAACCCCGGTTGGCCCAGTGAACATCCCCAATGGGTGGTGCACCTATCCCAAAATGGTACCATTGGTTTTGAACCATGGCCCTCTGTGCTTCAATCCCTTCACATTTGTGCACCCTCTACCTCTGAATGGCAAAGAGGGCCTGTGGTTTCAGGGTTTCGGGTTTCTGAAAAGGCCCTTGTGCACCCTCTCTGAATGATGGCAAAGAGGGGTGGTTTCGTGTGGTTTCTGAAAAGGCCCTTTGGAGCTTGCCAGGAGTCCAGTGAGCTGACCAAGGGCTTGCACACGAAGTTGGGTGGTCTTCTGCAAAAAGCGGAGGAGCGCCTCGCGACCTTCGATGCCTGAGGTTCGCTTTCAGTCAAACATGACAGCTGCGGCAAGCCGAAAAGGCACACGGAGAGGCAAGACGCAAAATTAACTGTTGGGAACAGCCCCACCAAAATTGTCCATCTTGTGAGTGCTGCAGCAAACTGGAAAGCCGAGCCAAATTTGGAACGCAAAGTCAAATCACTGCCCGACGGGTCTATGCCGGCTAACCTGTGACACATCGCTTTTCAGGCATCCTCCAAATCTGAGTGCCACCCAACCCCCCCCCGGCCAAAACCCCGAGTGGCCCCGCTTGGCCTAGCAAAAACTGTGTATCTTTAAGCAGACATATATGTTTGCGTATATATACATATATACATGAGCCACGGACAAAACCTACGAAGACCACTTTATCAAGGCGGGGCAATCCCAAGCACGAACTTGAATCAAGACAAACCTGGACAAACCGACTGGACAAGCCTAAGACAAAGCATGGAGGATTCTCGACGAAGCATAGTCATCGCATGAAAGTTCCAGAGCAAGATCGGTCGAAGGTTATACTTTGAAGATATGGTTGAAGCTTGCGACTCCTTGATACAAGCGTGTTGTCCATTTCTCTAAAGGGACAAAGTAGTCATAATGAGAATCAAGCACTTCGGTATCACGGATTTCCGGTCATTTCCCACAAATTGGAAACCGTGTCCCCATCAGTTGGTCAGTCAAACCTCAGCGCCTGGCCGGGCGTCAGGCGGCAAGTGAGCCATGTGTTTGCATGTACCTGGAATCTCCGGCCTTCATTTGCAAGCTGGCGGTCAGTTGCAGAAATGAGACAATGCATCGCACGAATCAACCAGGGGAGTTCCATTCAGCGCTCCTGTGATGTGACTTGAGGAGGCTCATCAGGGACTTGCTCGCATTCAAGCACGCAGATCGGCGTGATTAGCTCCATGCGTTTCGGGGGTGTCCTGGGTTGAGAACGCCATTTTATAACCACACGGACGACCAAGTGAACTCTCGAGAGCTACTCTTCGAGTGACAGCACATGCGCATTTTTGTTGAGGCTCGGCGCCCTCCTTTTCAGCGTGGTTTAAAGGAAAACCACCCATTTTTTGCCCTCTCCCCTCGCCCCTCCCTCCCCCCCCCGGAATTGTCATGGGATAAGGCAAAATGGGGAACTGCCCATTATGCTTCTGGCTAGTTGGAGAGATAAAGCCTACAGCAGTGTAAACATACATGCATCAGCCAGTGCTGGCAGGACACCGCTGTCAGCGGTTTTGTTGACTGAAGGCGTGGCTTCAGGTGTGCATTCTTCGGAGGTTTCAAGGGAAGCCAAAAGGAACCAACCACGGCCGCAATTCTTTGATTCCCCTCCCATTTTGAGACACTGAAAAAGGCGGATGCCAGAAATGCACCAAAAAGCCCAGGCAAAGCTGCGCTGAACGCATACATTGAGCGCCTTGGCTGGGATTGGGGATCAGGCTCAGAGCCGTGCCCCAAAGGCCCGGTTGGCCGGGTTAGGTCAAGTTGTGTTTTTGGATATTCTGATATGGCTGTGGGTCCAAAAAAGGGTACCCAAAATGGAACCCTTGTAAATGGAAACACAGACTAAAACCTGCGTAAACATAGCTCTTTGATTTTGAGCCACGCCCATATAACTTGGTGTAACCATTTTGGGTAGAACCAAAACTGAATGGGTTTCGGACGCCGCTATTTGGTTTTGGAGCCCGTCAAGAGTATGCTCAGTAGTTGTTCCATCTCTGTCCATCGGAATTTCCATACGATCAAAGAGTAACAATATGTTGCAACCGTTTTCCTGGCTTGAACATGCTGCTAGACGAAAGGTAGGAAAGAGACTCACCAAAAGACACATCTGCCATCTCTCTCTGTCTCTCTCTCTCTCAGTACCTCTTCATTCTATTTCTGAGACAATTTGAGAGAGAGAGAGAGAGAACAAATGGAGATGTGAGGAGGACAGAGGACGAAGAGAGTGAACCGGAGATCCCAAACAGATAGACCATGAGGTAGACATCCTGAAAGGAATTAATAAAGGTGGGTGAACGAATAGACCAAGAGATAGAGAGTGATGGGGGAAGTGGAGAGATGTCTTTCACTCTCCCTTCCCACCGTCTCTTTCCCTGAGAATCATTCCTGGGATTATGAATGGGTGTTCATCGCCTTGATTTGGTTGTGAGAGCTGGGACATGAGAAGTCCCTTCATTCCTGCTGGAGATCCATTCTAGGCGAGAGATTGAGAAGACAGAGTGGAGCCGGGATCATCAAAGCGATTGACTCTAGAATCCTTTCTTTGTAATCAAATGCTTGGAAGAGATACCATTCCCTTCATATCTGTTCTTGCCGGGTTAGCTCCTCCAACCCCACGGAGCATGAGGCCCAATGAAAGCGAGGGAGCGAGCTGGACTGATAGCCGTGAACCCGTGGCCTCAGGAACGCACGACTGCTGCAGAAGATTCAGTGCTCCACAGGGCAGAAGTGGAGCAATCCGCAGGAGTCAGATGACTTCTTTCGTGATCGCATCACACAGGACCGCTTCAAGCGCCCGCTTAACCAGAGCCAACTTCCTGCACAACTCAGAGTGTATCGACATGTCACTGTGATTGTGTATATAAAGTGTTTGTGTACCACTTTTTGGTGCATGGTAATCTCAAGGTGTCCCTGACGTGCAATGCTTTCCAAAGACTGATGCGCTCTTCTTGAAAACAGCCCAATAGTGGCGCCTGCTCAACTACGGTGCCTTTGAATTGGGCATAGAATGTGCCCCATAGCTGGGTCCCCAGACCAAGTTTCAGTTGCATTGCTTGCGCAATCGACCAAAATCAACCGAAACTCCTTGCTGCCAAATGGCAGCAAGTGGTCAAATATAAGAAACGTTCTGACACAGTCGCGCGCTTGGATGGAAATTGTGTGCGGTTCTTTTTGGCCTGCCTTCATTTTGAAAGACTACTTTTTGGGAAAGGGGGCCGGACCGCCATGTTTGATAGGAAGGTCTCCAAGGAGTGCGAAGTGGCAAAGGTAGAGAGGCTGCTGAACTTTGGAGGGTGTAAATCTCATAGCCCTCATATTGGTGGATATAGCCATGTGAAATCTCTCTCATATTGGTGGGCCTCGTATCCTCAATATGACATGAACATAGGGGTGCTCACGAATTTTCCCGCAACCCATGGGGACTGGGGACTGGGATTTATTTGTCAACCCATTAGAGTAGCCCTAATATAGTGAGCCCCGGCTTTGGGTTGCTCAACACATTGTGACCAAACCAATTCGAGTCGAACTTTGGTACGTCTTCAGCCAAGTTCCCATCCCTCATGCAGGAATGATTCGGACGGTCAGGAGTGCATAGCTAGAGACCTGCGGCGGGTGCGCTTGAACCTAGAGGGAGCTTCAGCTGAAGGCAGCGAGGGAGTGAGAATCGGCTTTCCGGGACAGCTTAGGAGCAGCTTTCAGACTTGTCAACTGCTGCCAAGACTGGGTTACCGGCATTTGCCATGGAGAAGTGTCTCCCTTGCAAAGTTGGAGTCAGGCTCGATTTTGGGCCCAGAGTATGCCCAGCCGTAGCGCACCATTTGCTAGGCTCGTGGACTGCCCCATGCGACATGCCCTCATGATATGTCGGGGTTGCTTGAGGTATTCACTCGCACATGCTCACGATCATATGCGCAGTGCAGGTGATGCGCCGGAATGCAAAGCTTTGCTGGATGAGGCCATTGGGGAACCAGGGACCTTTGAAACCGTGCTTTTGAGGGTGGCTTTAATCACCCAAGTCGGGCCAAGCTTATGATATCCAGAGAGGAAAGCAACATCGAAAACTCTTTTCGACATCCTGAGTTGCTTATGTTAGGCTTGTGCAAATCTTTTGCCACTTGCTGATGATGCGAACACTCACTTTGTTTTGGGGAAGTTCCCTACCTGTAAAGCTCGGTCCGGGGAAGGCTGGTTGGCCCATCCTCGGGGCATGTAAAGCGATCGATTGGCCTCGTTAGGCCCTGGCCTTCCAAGAGGACTTCAGCAAGCGACTGCAGGAGAAGTCAAGAGCTCAGAATTCCGATGGCCTTTCTTGTTTTTGCCCAGTGCTGACCTAGAACTTTGCCTTTGCTTGGAAGGGCATCTAGGAGTGTGTGTGTGTGTGTGTGTGTCTAACTGATATGAAGTTCTTGGCATGTGTGTGTGTGTGAGATTGTGTGTATGTGTTGTGCATGTGAGAGTCAAGGCATCCAGTTGACACGCGGCAACTGACACCCAAGTGCAGCGATGAATCATGGCCAAGCCATTCCTTCCTGCAGCGGCGCTGAAACGGCTCTTCGCTTAGGTTGAGGCTGCTCTTGTCAGCGTCAAAGAAAGGCTGGGAGGCGGGAAGTTGGCTTCAAGCACCGTTTGGGATAGATGACAAGCCATGTGAATGTTGGGATAAACCTCCTACCAAGTGGTGTAAGATTTGTCCATCCGCAGTATCTCAGTTTTTGTTGCGAATTCCTGAGACAGCACGCGTTCCTGAGGGAGAGGCTCAAATTGAACATCTGTGCTGCCAGACCTCTCAAAGGTACCGCAATTTGGGGTGGGGTCGGGGGGGGGGGTTGAAGGGAAAGATGAACAATACACACTTCCTTTTGGGGGAGATCCTTATTTTGAGACAGATTATTTTTGCAGTAATTCATTGCCAGCCTTTGACTTCCACCTTTGCCGCATGGGACATTTTGCGCTATTCGAATCCCAGGTCACCCACAATCAAAGCCTAAGTGAAGCTTGGGACAATCCCAACAACAAATAGGCGCGGCACGCGGCCCATTTGAGTCTTTAGCAGTCTTTGGGTAGGCACGGTAGACTTGAATACCAGGTTTTGATTGCGACTCAGGTATTGTGTGGTACGGTGAGAAGAAGGACCCTACAAACCAAACCTGCCAAGGGTCAAGAAGCCTAGTTCAGGCCAAGGATGCTCGCAGCTTCGGTTTGGGGTGGTGGTTTTGTGGTGTACTAGGGATTCGGTCGGCGTGTTGCAGGCTTCTCAAGGTGACTCCGCGGCAGATCGCAGCCGGGACCTCAACTTGGCAGTGCAACTGGTTCGCTGAGATTGCTTGGTTGAGGGGTCAAGACTACTTTTCAGGCCCCGGCGGTTTTCTTTACCCCAATTTGAGGGATCATTTTGAGGATGTCTCTTTTGACCCAGTGCAGGGTTGAGTTCCAGTGGGTGCTCTTTGAGTTCAAGAAGCTTCACCGGGTCACCTAGACTGGATGCTGAGTTGCGCGCGTCGCGCGAGTATTGGATCGACCTGGACCCGAAAAAAGCCGGGTGAACTCTGCAACTTCATGCCCCAGTGAAAGGGGCACCCTAAGTACCCCAGTTGCCCAGTGGTGCCCTGTTTTCCCTTCCCCCTTTTTTTGGGGGGGAAGGGGTTTCCCTTTAAAGTCAACCAACCCAAAAAGGATGCCTTTTCTCCCATGGAAATCCACTGGGCATGTGGCTTACGCTCATCTGATGGATAAATTCGAAAGTCACTGGGGAGAAGTAGCATGGTGCATCAGCAAGGGCTGAGATGTCCATTGGCCGAGGAATTCCCCGGTCCGAGTTGGTGGCAGTGGCGCACACCTGCAAAGCTTTGTGCGTCTCGACTGCACTCTGTGGATGGAAGCGTGAAAGAACGTCAGCCCCCCAAAAAAAACAATTCCCTCCTGTTGGTTCAGTCATCCCCTTTGCCTCACATGGGAGTTGTGGTGGTAATCATGTGCCCGCCCTGGCATAGGGAACCGCCACAGTGGCTGGTTTCCCGTTGGCTTGCCTTTCCCTGGTCAACACAAAGGGGGTCCGAGCCTCATCCATTCCCTGCATGGAACTCCGCGGCATCCTTTCCCAATATGTGTTTTTTCTCCTCAGACTGGTGGACCCCTTTTTGGCATTTACACGGACCAAGGGACACTGACACTAACTATTTTCAGGACCGATTCCTGGTTTGCGGTGCCACGCATGTTTTTTTTGGTATCCGGCACACGAGGCCGAACTTGGGTTTTCGCCAGGCACCATTGGGCATTCGGAGCCAGTGGAGCAAATCTTCGCGGAAGTGTTTGCCAAGGTGGGATGCCATGTGTGAAAGTCCAATCGTTGTCACAATTAATGACCGCGAAAGGGGCTCAAAGGGAGACTTCTCTGAAGGGTGTTTTGGTTTCCATGTTCAATTGAAAGGTTTGTCGTGGCTTAGCACAGTTTCTCATAGTTCCCCTCACCACAAGGAACCCCGTGAAATAGTTTGCTTGTCTTGTTTGCTTTTGGACAGCCAACCTCAAGAGCGGGTCACTTGCGGAGGATGGCAAGAATGCGGCAGGAGACTGTGGGCATGAAGGGGTCCAGCATAGAAAACACTGGAGCCCCCCCTTGTTTCTGCGCAATAGTTATTTTGTCCTTGACCTGCGGCACTCCTTGACCCGTGGCGGCACCTCGAAACACAGGTGTGGTGGTTTTAAGGGGAGATTGCAGCATGCAACATGGAGCTGTGGGCATGACTTGAGAGTCTATCAGATGCTTTCCACTACCCCGAAACCACTAATAAGGGAATGGGGCAAACGTGGGCATAAACATTTTATACAGCTTTTGTGTAGTAATGGAATATCCGATTCAATCCCCATGCTCTGGTAGAAGTTTTGAGAGTAGCGAAAACCATCGGACAACCTGCCTTCTGGGTGAAGTTGTGGCAACATCTTTCATCTTTGCCCTTTTGCTAAAATGATCTAGGCGTCGGGCGGAACGTTGTCCGAGCCTTCAGGCTGCTCTTGAAGAGATCAGCGTGGCCTGCAGTGCAGCCGCAGAGGACGAACTCGTTTCGACCAGCAAAATCGGCGCAATACAGTATCGCCGTATCGCTAAGTTCTTTGTGGGTTTTGGTCGGCTCCGGTACCAGGTTTTATTGACTCACGTTTTTTGGAAGGGGTGCTCCGAGCCTTTTCTGAAGGATGTTTGTGGTCGGTTTAATTGCAGGATGTGCTTTGTGGACGAGTTTTAAAGAAATGCCAAAGGGACGCCGTCCATTTTGGAGGTTCCGTATCCCATTTCGGGTCATTTTTTGCGGCTGCGCGCCTGTCGGTTTTGTAGGTGGATGGCCATCAATTTTGGGGTAGTTGCTTCTGATTGGTGTGGTAACCTTGTTGGGTAATATGACCCCTCCCGCGCCCCGATTATGTTATAGCTGTTTGGTGAGACCCAATGTCGAAATCCCCGCGACCGCTCAACGAAGCCAAGTCGCATAGGAGGCAAAGCGGAAGGCCATGGCGGAGACGTCAGGCATGATTGGTCCGTCGGGTTTCACCCCGCTTCTGTTCCTGGTTTCCTTTGTAATTATGTGTGTGTGCTTTTGTGTGTTGGCGTGCTTGGCTTGGTTTGGTTTGGCTGGGAGGAACAGACACCTTGTTTCCAGCGGTTGGACCTGGTTTCCCCTTCTGCATGGTTGCCTTCTCCTCAAAGCGCGGGGACGGCTGGTCATGTGCAATTGTTTTGGTTGCTTGCTTGATGGCTTTTGTGCTTGTTTGTTTGGTTGCTTTCCTGGTTGCTTTCTTGTTCGCTTGCGTGTTTGCTTGTTTGGTTGCTTGCTTGATTGCATGATGTGTTGCTTTGTGTGTTTGTGTGTTTTGTTTGTTTTGTGTGTTTTGTTTGTTTTGTTGCTTGGCTGTCTGGCTGGCTTAGCGTGTTTGTTTTGTTTTGTGTTTGCTTCCCTGCTTCCCTGCCTGCCTGCCTGCCTGCCTGCCTGCCTGCCTGCCTGCCTGCCTGCTTGCCTGCTCTATTGCTAGCTTGGTTGCTTGGTTGCTTGTTTGATTGTATGTTTGTTTATTTGCTTTTTTGGTTGTTTGCCTGTTTGTTTGTTTTCTTGTGTGTTTGCTTGTTTGTTTGTTTTCTTGTGGGTTTGCTTGTTTGTTTGTTTGTTTGTTTGTTTGTTTGTTTGTTTGGTCGGTTGGTCATTGTTCCTTGCACAGATTACCGTTCCTTCACAGACAGTTATTCTCTGCGTGTTCGCATAGAGATCATTTGCGCAGACGTGTTGGTCAAGAAGAAGATTGCCCGCCAAGACAATAGTTGTTTCTTTTGCCCACGGAGCCGCTGGGTGAGTATGTTGACCGGAGGTTGGCAAACCCAAAGGGTGCATGCGAGAGTTTTCGGAAGGACGTTTTGGAGGGCGGTTCTTAGCGTCGAGGCCACCCCTTTTTGGTGAAAGGGAAGCAAAGGCGATCTTGCCATGTACCCGGTTTGGACTGAACCGGGATCCCACTGCAAGGCCACGTTTGGTGGGCTTGGATTTTCTTCTGAAAAGGGGGTCGCAGTCCAACACTCAAAGCCCACTCCTCCTGTCCCCTTTCGAATTGCTTTCGATTCCTGTTGCGCGCCGACCCAAAATGCGACCCGCTTGCGCTGGCAGCGCAAGCTGGAGAGCGCTGCCAGCGCATCCTCTTCCTCCCCTCGTGTTCTAGCAGCCCGAGCGGCGCTTCTTGGCAGCTATCTGTGCTTTAAGGGGCATATGGTTCATAAAGGTCACTTCGATGGAGTTGCGAAAGGTTTGCGAAAGAGCTTTTTTTCCGCCGCGAAGATGGCGTTTTCTGGAAGACAACATACTGATCAACCACCATATCTATGTAAATATATATATATATATATATTCTATACAATTGGTTCATACATGCGTACATGCGCATATATGTATATTTTACATATGCATGACATGGATATATATATATATACATACCCCATGCTTCCTCGACTATTTTTTTAAATAGGGGTTGTTCAACCCCTATTTTTTGCATTGACAACCCCTATTTGTTGACATTGGCCTTTGGGGTCCATTTTGGGTTGTTACTTTGTTTGTATCGAAAACAACGCCTGCTATTGCAACCTCTTAAGTAGCCTTGGGAGCCAGTAGATTACTATTTATTGGTAGGGTCATCGGGGCCCTTTCGTTTTTGCGCAATGCACCTGCTGAAAGTCTTGCGTAGACGGAGCCTTCATTCTAGCAAATTCTAGAATAGTCCTCTGCAATTTGCGCAGGTGGCACGAACAACAAGCAATTTTGCGCTTGTTTCTTCCGTTCCAATTTTCACTCAGCTCCAAAAACGACGGGAGCGTAGACAAACCGTAGACAAAGCGTAGAAAAAGCGTAGAAACACATTTTATTGGTGTAGAATCACTATTTTTTGGCGTAGAACGGGCAACTTTTGCAGGGGACCCAGAAGATCAACATTCTCATCCTGGAATGGTTGCTGTGATGGGTAGATATTTTTGCTGTCCCGTTTTTTTTGTTTGGCAGAAGGTGGGGCAAAAGAAAGACAGAAACGGTCACAAGAGGGTTCACCCTCACGCGCTACATGGCCATGTTAAGAAGCCAAGCAACATAGAAGCCAACATTAGCCTTGAAGATTGTAAATCATATTGCTGCATATGAAAATACATATTCGGCTTTGGGATCCTATGCAGCGGCCTTAGCAAGTGTTTCCTAGCCCTTGTTCCAGTCCACAACGGAGCCTGCCGCTCGTCATCAAAAAATAGTCTTTATCAAAAAAAACCGGGGTTGTCACAACGACTATTTTTTAAATAGGCTTTGGAAGCATAGGGTGTATATATATATATACATATGTGCATGGTTAGCAGGCGCCAAGATGGTGGCGGGCGCTGTGGACCTTGCCGTGTTCTTCCAGTCTGTGGCCAAAGCCTTCTTCACAGAGGCGCTTGGTTTGATGCGTAGATCCAAGGGGGAAGCGGTGATTTCGAGTCCCGTCAAAATGGGTTGGTGTTTTAGGGGACCGGCACCCGTGTGGTTTCCTTTTAAAGCCACCAACGAAAAAAGGGGCGCCAAAGTGGCGGACCTTTTGCATGGTTTTGAAAGGAAACCGGCCCACAGGAGTCAGCTCTTCTTGGTTTTGCACAGCGATTGCGGAGAGGCGGGGCAGTGGCAAGGGCAGGGCGGCGCCGCTTTGTAGGGGATCCGATAACCGGTGCCTTTGACAACCTCATGCAAATGAGTTGTGTGCTGTTTGCACATGAACCGATGTTTGCAGTGCAGAAAGTGCGGGCATGCAGGGCGCAGTATGGGTTTGAGTCCTGACTGTGGCCTATGACTCTCTATCAGCGCACTGGAGTTTCTCCCCGTGAGGCTCAGATGGGGATGAAGCTTTGGCTGTACCTTCCCTGAAGTTGGCCTCGCACTTAGAGTCCGGTTGCGCATGCCTTTCAGGTCCTTGCAGTACCAGAGTTCGGCCTGCGTGCGTTTGCCAGCGTGGGTGAGCCAGGAAAGACGCTCAATGAAATTATGTTTTCTGGAGAAGCCAGCTGAATTTGGGATGCCATATGGGTTCGCCATGGAGTCTATGCAACTTGCAACTACACACCTTATTGGGGCATCTGCTTTTCACAGTTCGAGCCGCAAACTTTCGGGTCGCCCTTTTTCCTAGTGTGCACTCGTTCTTTGTTGGTGGAAATATCGTTAGAGCTGTGGCCAGCAAACAAAATACGCAACAAGCGCCTATCATATGAAGTTTTAAGGTTCTGCTTGCTGATCGTTCTGTTTCCTGGATGGTTCAAAATCAATCCGCAAGATCCCTCATGCCAGATGCAGTGGTGTTCCACTGCAGGCTATGGAGTAGGCACCCCGCCATTTTTGAACAAGGTAATTTGAAATGAGCTGGTGCACGTATTTTACATGGTGCGGTTTTATACGGTGTTCGGTCGTTACTCATGGTTGATTTTGGAGGGACATAGGGGACTCTAAAATTCCCCATCGAAACCCTGGACTCTGAATTTTTATTGATCATGGCTCATGTCGTTTCCCAACCATGTTCGAGGGATGCTCCATTGAATCTCATCACCAAGTAGGCTTTGTCCCAACAGAAGGACCCAAGAATGGTGGCTTGTTTTGGTTTCCCTTCAAAGAATAAGCCCAGGCATTCCCATTTGGGCACAGACCCCAAAGCTTCAGCCGTTGCGGACAAAACAAGACGTGGGTATGGGTCAAATCATACCACCAGGGGACCGCAGGTTTTAGTCCTTGTTTCCTTTTCCAGGGTTCCGTTTTGGATACCTACTTGTATTTCTGACCCACACCCACGTCCACCCGAATCTCCGTGAGGAAGTCATTTCCTCCGAGGTGGCCTACTCTGTGGTGCTGCCGGCCTTGCGACAGGTTCAAGAGGCCGAGGAAATGTTCAGATACCGTGCCGGTACCCCCTGCAGATGAGAATGGAACCCAAAAAAGTTATGGCATCTCGTTTTGGTCGACCATGGCGACCCCAAAATTTGGATATTCCTGCCAACTTGCAGGGGAGCATGTTTGTTTGCAAGAATGCAAGTGGACAGCTGCCCGTTTCTTATATTCGGAACTTGCAACTCCTCTACTACTCAGAAACCGGTCTGCGGAACGTGGCTTCCTTTTACAGGGGGGCTACAAGTTCACCAACTCAGTGCAGACATTTGGTAAGTGTCCTTTGAATTCCCTTTAGCAAGTTTCTACCCTGGGGTCTTGCAAAGCCACCATTGTTTGTTCAAAACTCGGGTCTCCGAAACTAGTTTCAAAAGAGATTTTACAGCGGCTGAAATCAAACTTGTAGGTGTTTTCTTGAGTTATCCTCTCTCACACCGGAAAGCCACCAAAATACTGGCCCACAACAACGGACCATGCAACAGTGTTTGGATAGTTCATGTTTTAGGGTCGACTAAATTTGAAACAAAATCCAAACATGTCGTCATGTATTGTTTGTGGGCCGAGCCAAGCCAGAGCAGCCTGTTTAGACTTGAGGGGCCTCACACAGACGGACCCGGTTGGTGCAGAGCTTGGTCAGCTTGTATAGCTTGATCATCAAAAGGCAGTGTATTGGATAATATGTAGCCTTTCATACATGGCTGTGGGTCAAAACCAATGGGATCCCATTTTGGGGTAGGTGTGCCACCCATTTTAGTCTATTGTAGTGGGGATTGGGATGTTCACTGGGGGTACGGAATTTTGACCCATGGCCGTGGGCGTGTGACCAGAAATGAGTTGTATAACAATGAGTCATTGTTGACAAATTAGATTGGACGGCAATTAGCGAGGAGGCAGGCCATATGAATAGCTTCAATTAGTTCGGGCAAGCACCTGTGCAGTTCCATATTGGAAGCATGTTGTAGTGAGAGATGTCACTCGTTGGTATCGTGAGCAGAGAAACATTGCAGGAGATCGTTAGGGAAGCCCCAGCCCAGCTGCGGCGACCGTTGTTGCCCCGTGCTCAAGGCACCTCAAGCTCCACTCATTGCGTGATTCGGCCAACAGCTGCATGGATCAAAGTTTCAGTATGCCGGTTTTAGCCGATGGCAGGTATGGCCCAATGTCTTCATGCCCGCATTTCCAGACACCTTCGCGGCAACTTGGTAGAAAAGCCAACTGTTCGATTGCCCCGCGTGGTTCCTACAGCAGCCACCAGCTTGCAGTACGAGTAAGGCCAACTACGTGCATTTCACAAAGTTCTTGCAGGCCGCTGAGGAGCTCCTTGGAGAAAGCGCAAACCGCAGACAGAATCATCATTCGTCTATGGCTCACTTGGGAGGACATGGGGGACGACCCCATCTTCCCCTAACTCCCCGCAAAAGGTAGGGGACCGACCAAATGAAGTCTTAGCAAGTACTAGTGCTTGCTGCTCGCATGCCTGACTGGAGAACGTCTTGCTTTCGTTTGATTGCGAGCTTGGTGGCCAGGCGTTTGGTGCCATGCCAAGTTTTCATCATCATCATCATCATCGTCATCGTCATCGTCATCGTCGTCATCATCATCATCATCATCATCATCATCATCATCATCATCATCATCATCATCGCCATCATCATCATCATCATCATCATCATCATCATCATCATCATCATCATCATCATCATCATCATCATCATCATGCTCGACAACATCGTCATGGCGCGCATTCATGCATGTATGCCGGATTGGATGCCAGGGCGCATGGAAACCACAAAGTAGATGCAGCCATTCGTGTGAATCCTATGGTTGCGCGCATGTTCTTTTGAGTCGCCCGTCGACGTGTAGGACCCATGTGAGCAACTGACAAGATGATTGGTAGTCATCCAAGGTTTTTTGATGACGACAGGGCCCACGCAAGTTTCTCCCGAAAACACGGGGCT